TTGAGAAGGGAGATGAAAATAGACCAGTAAGTTGTTCGGAATTGTAAGTGCCAACATGAAGTTGAGAAAGTTTTCCGGAAAAGAAGGTATTTGCATAAACATTAACAGCATCTATAAAATCGAAGAAAGCGTGGTGAGATGGAAATCATGATAGTTCGTTAATATATTTTGTTATTAAGCTTACTAGGCGCAACGTGATAATATTTCCAGGACATTGACGTAGAATTAAGGTTACAATCATCCAATCCGAACTTGTTCCCACTCATAGATAGACATTTCCCACTACTTTCGCTATTAATCAAACCATCGCCTTTAATTTTCCAGATTTGCGAGGCACTTTTATCGCACGGACAAACTTGAATTTCTCCAGGGGCTGACGTATTTCCACTTGAAAGACAAAATTGATTATCCGAAGATTCAATGGAAAGCTTGGTTGAATTTGTCAAATCTGATGATGACGAGAGGTCAACTGGAACTAAATTCCAGGTGACTGTTGTTGATATTGAACCAAATCTATCTACGGGACACGAAGTTGAGGAGAGGGAGAAGCACGAGGATGTAGATGTGATATTGGATAGGTGTTGCAGGCACGAATTATACTGGACATTTCTAATGAATCTTGCTGTGAATGTATAAAAACGATGGTGAGCGATGAAAGAAATCACATCGAGCCAAATGCACGATCTTTAGACCTACCAGCTTGAACGTAATAGGGTAAAAACGTTAAACTCGCGAGTAACGATAAAATAAAAAGAAAGGAAATATTAAAGTTTACTATCATATTGGAGTAGTATGTATATACATAAAAAAGGTCTGTCAAATTTAAACAAACAAAAGGAAGGCGTATGAAACATTACAAAGGAAGACACCCGTGTCTTCCTACCGTTTAGCTATACGTAAAATATAAAAAAGGAAAGAAAAATTTTCTTTAAAAGATAACGGTTATCCATTTTATATAAATTTCGAGGTTAGCACAAAAAAAATAATAATTAATCACTATTTAGAGTTCAGGGTTACAAATACCAAAGGTGAAACGTAACGAAAAGCATTGAATATTCGGACTATTACTATGTTTGTTTGTAAACTTATAGTCCATTATAGGAAATCTTTAATTAATACCAGTAAACCAATATACAGTAATTTCAATAATGTTACACGCGAACATCTTACCCAAAGAGTGTCTTTCATCTTAGTTCTTGATGGTATGTCAACTTTTGATTTATGAAACTAACTTTTTCCGTTCTTCAATATTTAAGAGTATAAGGCAGGATATTCACCTGAACAATGACGTTTCCTAATCAGAATTTATTTTATGTGAGGAAAACTCTCTATTGTTTAATAGGTAATTTATTGACGCATACTTAACACCAGTATTCTTGGATAGCTTTAACTCCTCCAGATTTTCGATGATTTGATCAACAAAAAATTTTTATAAAATCATTAAAAGATTAATAAGTCAACTTACCCCTAGTCGTAGACATATGCGATAACATTTAATATTTAGCAATGGAAAACATTGTAATGACATATATAGAAAGATTTTCGTGATGTCGGTTGAAAGAATAATCAGATTTATAAGGAGATTCTTTTTGAAACCCCTTGTCATTACCATAAGTCACATGAAACATATGTCCGTTGAAGCAGTCAAGGAAAACAAGGGTTTTCCGTATACTGTATTTGCGTTGGTGATTGGTTTCATACCCGAAATGCATTTAGTTTATCAACATTTCGAATTTCCTTTTTACATTCTCTCAAAAATCATTGGTGGCAAGTTTTTTCTTGACACATGGTATACCGTATATAGGACCAATCGTGTTAAAATGTGCAACAGAATTTTGATGTTATAGCCATGTCGTTATACTGTTAATGATTTTTTCAATTTATATAAATTATTAAGCAAAATATCAATTTTTATTAATAAATAAAAAAAAATAACAAAGTATCGATTCAGCTATTCAATGATTACTGGTGATTAACAAACAATCTTTCAAATGATACAAAGAAAAATTTAATAATTATTTTGAATTTTATTTTTGCAATCCAATTTAATGGATAAATATACAGTAAATCCAATCATTTATTATTAAACATTATCAAAGAAACTATCAAAGAAATCTAATGTAAAATAGAATTTAGTTCAGATAATTAATATCCTGTCATCTTAAATTTGATAACATAAATGCACAACAATATTATTGATTAAAAAATTATCTTCTTAATAATAATTTTAAACATTAATTAACTTTAATATTTGTAATTATAAAGTAAATTTTTGCATCAACTATACAAAAAAAAAGACAAAAAAACAAAGATATAAAATTAGTTATTTAAATTGT